TCTCACGTTGTCTCTAATCTGCCTACGGAGTAAGAAGCCATTTTGATCTTCATGTATAAATTGACTTAGGAAACCTTTTAGTCTCTCTGCTAATACTGCCGCAAATAGTTTGTAGTCTGCGTTAAGGAGCGAAATAGGTCTATAATTCTGGATTAGGGATAAATCACTACTATCCTTCGACAAGAGGGTTATTAATGCTTCTGACCAGGAGTTCGGGATCTTTCCCTCCCTGATTACCCCATTAAATAGGTCTGTCATATAAGGGTTTAAGACTTCCCAAAGTGCCTTATAATATTCTATTGGAGACCATCCATACCGGGAGTCTTTCCTGTTTTTTGTTTTCCCATAACCCTTTCAATTTCCCCTTCCGTTATCTCCCTGTCCAGTATTTCCCTAGACATATCCGATATTTTGGGTAGGTCAGATTCTTCTAGGTATTTCCTTATTTCCTGCTCAGGCTTACCTTCTTTTCTATATAAGTCAGTATAAAATTCCTATGCTATTCTTTTCTTCCCTTCTTCCCCTGTGATCCAATCACCATTTCCATCTCTCAAGTTGTGAATTCTACTCTTTTCCTTTTCTTTTTTTAATCGGTATGTAAGCCATCTTTCCTGTTTATTTGCATTTTCAAATTGTCGTTGTTTCATCCACCTAATTTTTTTCTAAATCCTCTTGGTCTAGTAAATTAATTGGTGTCGCACTAATTTCAAATTCATATTAAGTTCTTTATTGTTTGGGTCCTGTTGCAACGCAACCTCACTTCTTGTCAGGTCTTCTAATAATTTGTCTTGTTTAGCCTTCTCCTTCTTCCGTTTCCCAGCTGTATAATTTATCACTAAACCCCGAAACACTGCTTTAGCTGTTTCCCATACATTTAAAAAGTTTGCATCTTCATTATTATTTTCCCGGAAGAAAAAACCCATCTCCTTCTTACATAAGTTAAAAATTGTTCGTCTTTGAGGACCCTCATGTCCATTCTCCACCTAGGCTTTGTTTTCAACTCTCCCCATGATAACCAGAGTGGATTATGGTCTGCCCACTCATTGACACCTACCTCTACTTTTTGTGTTCCCTGCCGCAATTCCCCTGACATCCAAGCCGCATCTATCCGCGACCAAGATGAGTGCTTGGCGGAGAAGTATGTGTATTGTCTATCTTCTGGATGTTTTTCCCTCCAAATGTCTTTAAGTTCAAACTCCTCTTGTATTTGATGGCAAATAATAGCCAGTCTTTTCTTTACAGAGCTTTTTTTCCCCTCCTGTTTCCTGTTTCCAGATATATAGTCTTTATCTTTATCATCTATGGCGCTAAAGTCCCCCATTACACAAATGTGCGAGTAATTATATTCTACCAATTTACTATAGAGACTATGAAAAAAGTCTTTCTGATTCCCATTGGGTGCATAAATACAAACCAGTAAGCATTTTTTACAACAAATTTCTACTTCAGTCATTAGAAGTCTCCCTTCTTCATCTGCAAAAATTAATTTCGAATTTATATGCCTTTGGACATAAATTGCTACTCCTCTTTTTTTAGTTTCCGCTAAAGACGTATATAATTGACCCAGTTTGGTATAATTCAATAAATAAAGATGATCCCTTTTCACATGTACTTCTTGAAGGCATATTATATTCAGATGTGCTTTTATTAATTTATTAAAAATCTTTTTTCTTTTATTTGGGCTATTCAGCCCATTGATATTAACTGACAATAGACAAATTTCCTCTCCCATCCCTTCTCCCTTCTGTTGCACTTACTTGCCTTCTGCTTGGAGTTTCTTTTTTGTTTGTCTTGTTTCTCTCTGGCTCAGTCCCTCAACTCCTATCTCTGCTTCTATTTGCATCTGTCCTCTTCCTTTCTTTCTCATGCCTAGCTGTTCTGGTTCCCCTCTCTCTTCATCCTCTAATAATTCTTCCCCACTCTTGCTCTCCAACTCTTCTCCCACATCCAATTCTGCGGGATTCATATATCTGATAAGAAAATCTCTGGCATCTCTAAGGTTGTCAATTCTCACTTTTTTATCTGCTCACGTAAATTGTGACCCTTCCAGTAATAGCCACCTATATAGCACTCTGTGTTTTCTTAGTTGAGCAGTTAAGAAATGATAATTTCGCCGTAATTCCCATACCCGTCTGGGGAGTTGTTTCAGAATTATCAGTTGTTTGTCTTTATATGTTACCGTTTTGTCTCTGGACTTCAAAATCACTTCTTCCCTAAGTGCTTTCTTGGATAACCTAACATGGACCTCTATTGGAAGTTTCTGCCTCCTGGCGTAACTCGTATGTACACAGAAAACGTCATCAGTATCTGTCAGAACATCTTCCTTAGCTATCTCCAGAATCCCAGCCAGAATGTCTGCCACTATATCTCTTAGAGGCTCCCCCCGTTCTTCCACCACATTTTGTATCCTCAGATAAAAAGCTGATCTTTCCATCTCAAGAAAAATAATTTCTTCTTCGAGGGCCCTATTCACCGAGAACTGTTCTCTTTCATTTCCATCCAGTCTCTCCTCACATCATCCCACTCTCTTCTCTACATCTTGTACTTTACTCTCCTGTTGTGTCAACGCCCCCTGCACACTTTCCAGTCCCTCATTCAACATTTTAATATCATTCCTGACAGCTCCCAGCTCCCCTTTAAGATCTGATGTTAAGTCCTCTAAGTTTTTGGAGATAACTTATTGGTTTTTTGTCATCACCTCGTACATTGCCTGCAACATGTTCTGTAGATTTGATAACGATGGGAGGTTTCCCTGCAGCAGCTAGATCATCCAAAGATTTAAAGGATGAGGATGATGATGTAGGTGTGACAGGAGTAGCAACTGTTGGGAGTGTCAAAACTTTTTCCCCCACTTTTGTGGTTGTCACGGTTGTTGCACTCGACATCTTGCTTGTAGAGATACGGCCAATCGCTTTCAAATTTAATTATGATAATTGTGTAATCAGTTCTGCTTACAGAGATTCGCCGAGATAATTAATCACCAAACAATATAACTTAATCCAATATTTAGTCTGTTTCAGTATTAATTTAGTTAATTACCTAATCAAAAAACAAAAAAAGAAAAAAAGAAAAGAAAAAAACACCCTTAAATTAGCCAATTTCAGAAATAAATTATATTCTGAAATCTTCAAATCAAATTTAGTCAATAAGGATGATAATCAATGGGGGTAATTCATTCAGTCAAATATAAAAGCAAATTCAGATCTCTCCTCTTCTGGAGACTCAGTGTGTATTGTAATTTTAAAGTTCACCACTAGAGGGAGATAGGTTGCTATTCCTCAATAATGATCAAACAGAAAGCAGGAAGAGAAAGGCTCTGGAGGGGGATAAATCCGCACATTCAATCACGATTCTTAATCCACAAAGAAGTCAAGAGTAAACACCATCCATCAACAAGAGGGAGGAGGGTGATCCACCCTAAAACTTTCCAGCAATCAGATACAAATCCTTTTTCACGATGTTTCTTTTGAAGATCTTTTGATCAACTCAGCTCAGTAGTGGCCAAAGAGTTCATGGTATAATAAACAAACAGCCGCTTTCCCCGTCTCAGCTCCAATCGAAAGAATGGCACTCAAGTTAACTCTTTTTCCATCACCACGAACACTCAAAATAGAGGGATCAAAGGAATCAAAGATCTGTCTCAAAGTAAAGTAATTTAAATTAGAAAGGGACTCCTTGCTCACCTGCGATTGGGTTTCCATTCCAGTACGGGGAAATCGTTTTGGGGCCGCCATGACTGATGCCGTCTTCCCAGCCTGTGACAGGATGCCTTCGCGTGCCGGGTCGCCACTCCACACACGCGCTATTGCTCCTCTCCGCTTACGGCCACCTCTCTGGGGCTGCCGCCGGCATAAAAGCCGCCTAGTCTAAGAAGTTTGCAAGAGTGAGGCAGGAGCGGTCTCCATGCTCATCTTGCTAGCACAGTGACGTCAACCGGAAACCCAACACACCTCATTTCACTGCATTGAAATAATACTTTGAGTTTAATAAATATTGCCATGAATAACTGAATGTACAAGATTATAATTTTTCTTGCAGTGTTCTCAATTTCTTAACTATTTTTTCTACTGGTATGTGAGTTTGTAAATTCAACATTTATAGAAGTTTTGAAAAGTATAATGACTAAAAACCAAAAGGAGAGGCAGGTTCAGATATCTGCTCAAATATTCAATGGATTATCTGAACAGATAGTTACATATGGTATAACCGCTTTCATGGTATCTCCGGTTTGCCACTGGTTTGCTGCCTGGGCATGCATGGCATGCACAAAGTGCATGCTGCATGCACACATGTCCAATGCATGCCAAATGCAAGCTGCGCACACTTGCATGCGCAGTGTGCCCCAAATGCATGCTACGCATGCGCAGTATGCACCAAATGTGCGATACATACGGAAAAAGGAGGTTTGAGAAGGTAAGTAGAACAGCAAGGGGGGACCAGCTGTGCCGTGCAATTTAGATTCACTAGAAAGCAGGATTTCCTTTCTAGCAATTTTAAATTGTGTGGTACTGCTGATCGTCGGAAATAGTGGTTTGGACCAACCAATACCTTCTTTTTAGTACCGGGATAGCTTTTATCACTACCGCTTCACACGAACCGGTGCGAACTGGTAGGATTTAACCTCTATAACTTGAAGTTTGCATGATAATAGTTTAAAAATAGAATTCAACAAATATTTCCTGCGACTCGTTCAGAAAAGATTATGATAAAATTAATAATACTATAGGAATGAAAAGCAACTTTATTATATATAATCAAAATGATAGCATATCTTACAGGAAGTCAGAGGTCATTCTGAATTGTTATTGTTGCTGTTTTATTACATACTGTAGAGTAGAAATGTCCATCAGATGAAAACTGACTGAATTTATTGAATTAACTAAACATTTGTTAAACAGTTCCCCCTCCCCTTTGTTTTCTTCTATTGTAGCATCTGCTATTATTTTATTGAGCTCCAGTCCATTGTAATTATACTGCATGTTTTATTGTTTTTTCCAAAGGTCATTGAAAATCTTGGTCCGTTGGAGTTTATTCTCAATACTCCTAGTCATCATAGAGTTCATCATGGTAGGCAATACTGGATATTACGAAGCTGTAATAGTGTACTTATTTTCTTAATATTATTCAGTGTGAGAAATCAGATAGAATTCTCTTTTGCAATGCCTTTTGGGTGATGAATTTTAAAATAGTGTTGTAAAATCTTACAGATGTCATGGGTTCTTATTTCTAAATCAGACAGTGGTTACCTATGGATATATTATATGGTTATATTTCGGTCTGTCTCTCCATATATCTATCAAATATTTTACTTAGACACAGACACACACAGAGAGTGTCAGAGACAGAGATATTATGAAATAATTATAAGTGATGGCCTTGATGTAAATTAGGTTAATAATACTTAATTAAGATTATTCAGCATTTAAATAATAATAATGACTATCTTTTCTCATTTGTGTCAATGTCTGGTTTCAGTTTAATATATTGTTCAAATCCAATGGAAAAAATGCTTTATTTTTTTCTCTTTAGGCAGAAATCCATATTGTATTGATAAAAACTATGGTGGTACTTTAATTATTTGGGACAGAATGTTTGGTAAGTCACCTTTGTCATTACCTTATGTTCAGATTACTGTAAAAATGCTCTTTCTTGGACTGCCTTTGAAGATTTCTTAAAAATTTCTGAATGCTCTACTTGCTTGATAACACAACAAGTTGGTTCAGTAGAATCAGAAGTTACAGAAGATCATTTTTTCAGGTTTCTGGGTATAAATCAAAATAATGTAATAGTTTACGAACTATTACGTTTCAACTAGAAATAGGCCTGCAACAACTTAGATAACTTAATAAGAAAATTTAAGAATAAAGGATAAGTAATATATATTGGAAAAAAAATAGCCAAACAAAAGTAAATTCAGATAGTCCTCAAGAAGTAGGCCAAGTGAGAAAGACATGGTTCAAGTCTTCTGACACTTTTTATCCCATCCAAGCTAACAGAATAGTTGTTACTGGTCAGATTTGTTTCTATCTTATTTTTTACTATCCGTGTGAGAAGCAATATGGAACCCTTTATCAACCTTGTTGTGACCCAGGCCCAGGTAGTTAATATTAAATGCAAAACAGTTCCAAAAAACAAACAGATTTTATTAAAACATCTGAGAATTAACTCATTCTCAGTGTATTCCAAATTAAATGAAAGCAAAGTCCTCAAAACACCATTCTTCAGTTTATCTCTGACCTTGCGATAATTAGGCAAACTGCCAAAGGCTTTTCTTGGCAACAGTTCAGGAACAGAAGACGCTAACAAGAAAGAAATACAGGCAAACATGAAGCAAATCTCTCAACCGTTGTTTTCTGGCAAAGAGACCAAGAGCCATTGCTGGTCTTTTAAGCCTTATGGGAAGGGCCAGTCATCTCTTGGTCCTACTCCTGAGTCGTCCTCTCTGCTTTAGCTGCTCCTGCCTTCTGGCAGCTCTTCTCATACATGCACTAGGAACAGGCTCCTCCTGTACCTCTGCCTCTCTACTGTCAGCCTCTAGAGGCTCCAAAGTCTGCACATCACTTTCTGATGGCCCTGGCCCCATCTCTGTCTCCGATGCAGAGGCCTCATCCGGGCCTTCCCCAGCCTCCAGGACTGGCCCATGTTCTTTCTCAGCCTCATCGCTGTCTGACTCCACTGCCAGCTCCGCAGGCTGCTGGTGGATCACAACACACCTTTGCAGAATCATCTTCCCTGACCAGAGTCTCCCTGACTTATGCATTGTGGCAGGGTATGATTTTTATTATCCTACTCCTCAACCTCGCCCCATAGGTCTAAGGAGGCAGGTTTATGGAAACAAGCTAGAAACAGTAAGAAGACTGCTGTTTTTCTGTGAATGTACTGAGTTTATTAGGTAGTTATTAGGCTGACTGTGTAGTAAGTAGATGACTAATTTATTGTATACATCAACTTATTTTGGTTCAGTGTTATGGCTTTCTAGTTTTAAGATTATTTTATTTGAAGTTATAAGCCATCCAGGGAATGTCATGTGGATCATACCTATACATGAATGAAATGAAAAAAAATATTTTTTCTTTAAAATGTATTTTTAAAACATTGTGCTTATATTCCATCTAGGTACATTTGCTGCAGAAAAAGATAAAGTTGTGTATGGTCTAACACACTCTATAAATACTTTTGAATCTTTGAAAGTTCAGGTAGTCCTTATTATTAAATTTGCCTCTTTATTTTTATGTTTTAATAAATGATCTAGATCAAACGGTCTCATTTTTCCCTAGGATGGTGATCAGTTTAAGCATCATTGCTCCCTATGGCTTAGAAAAAGTAGTCCTCGAGTTACAAATGTAATGGAGCCTGCCCATTTCATTCATAACCTGACAATTTGTGGGAGTGAATCTCATACCTTGAACGAGATCACTTCCTGCTTTTGCCCATGTATTTGCTAATTTAATGTGTGGGCGAATGCATAGTTTGTTAAGTGCACATGAGGTATCTCCGGGTGGGGGAATCCATGTGGGTGGGGGGCCTAGTGATGGAACAGGCTACCTACTTCAGACTACCCAAGGCTTCCCCTGACCCACAAACACCTCATTTTCCTTTCCCTGAGACCCCCACAATTGCTTCCCCCCATCTTGCCATGCCCAGTGACTTACCTTATGAAGATCTGTCTCCTCTTCAGGCTGTTTCTTTGCCTGCTTCCTCCTTTCTCATCAGCAAAAGGCTTGATGAAGCCTCTGATAATAAAAAAGGAGGCCCGGAAGGCCATGCTGGGCCTTCTGGGCCTCCTTTCTGTCTGGAAATCCGCTTGAGGCCTCTGGTGATGAAAAAGGAGATTCAGAAGGCCCCACGCGGCCTTCCAGGACTCCCTTCTCGCGAGAGAGCCACTTGAAGATTGCGCCTTTTAGGCTCTTTGGCTTTTCCAAAGAGCTGCCAAAACCTACAGGAACACAATTTCCCTGCAGGCTTTGGCAAGGAAACGGCAAAGGGAGGAAAAGCCTGAAGGACCTTCCCTCTGTTTGAGACCTGGACCTGTTTGATAATAGAAGCCAAAAGTACGAGATCACATGAGATCAGTAGCACGAGATCTCACGCTACTGATCTCACATGATCTCAGGCCTCTGTTCTCTGTGAATACACCAATAGCCTAAAGCAATGAAGCAGACAAAGAAAGCATGACAGAGGGGAGAACTTCTCAAGGTGAGTCTCCACAGGTGAAGTGCCTATGAAGACCCGGCTAGGGGGGAATAGGCGAGGCAAATGTTGCAGAGCCTCTGTGGTCATTTGTAAGAGTGAACAACTGCTGTGGTGCTACAACATTCATAATTGAAGGAACTTGTTTGTAAAATCTGGGGGGCGCTTATCGCATAACTTTGAATGTTCACTAAGGGAACGCTCGTAACCTGGGGTTTACCTTTATATGAGACTAGAGGCCAAAAGCTTCAACTTTTGTTTTTTAAGAAAAGAATAATCCTTTCTACTTTGCATATTCTGTCCTCTTAATGCAGCCCCTTAATTCCCACCTCCTCCTATGCTTTCTGCTCGTCTTCTGCCAACTTTTTAAATTTCATATTATTTGTACTTTGATTTTTTTTACTTTATTTACTTCATTTATTTCTTTGTTGTTGTTACGTTTGCATTATTTTTATCTTGTTTTCAATGTTATTGTTGGAAGCAGCCCAAAATAGCCCGACAGCAAGATAAGTGTCAACTACTTTTAACTAATTAAAAAAATAAACAATCTTAGTCTTTCCCTTGTTTAATGAAGCTCTCAAACATTAAAATGATTACAGAGGTTCTCTGTCATCCAGGTCATGATTGTCCCAAAGAAAAAAACTTTTTCAAAAGGCTTCTTTGTTTTTCCTTGAAGACATTTTGTCTGACTGAAGAACTGAGGAAGCTTCTTGGATTATATTATATTATATTATATTATGTTATGTTGTGTTGTGTTGTGTTGTGTTGTTATATATTTATTATATTATTTTATATATTTTATACTATAATTTATACTCAAATGAATTATAATACATTGAATAATTTTAAACACTTCTCATTTATTTCAGATACTTTGTTTATAACAATAGATACTTGGAGCAGAAAGTTTCTCTGTTGTTTTGTGTGTGTACACTCACAAATATTTTATTTTCTAAAGAATGAACTACAAGGGAGAAAGGAAATAAGTTTAACATGAATTTAATATTCCTTTTTCATTAGCCCATTGAGTGAATAAACTTTTGTTCCAACAACATTCAATGTGCTGTAATAATAATAAAAAACAGGCTGCAGGTAGATATTTTGTTATTTTACAAAATAGTTCACAATACTATATGCCATGTTAGCAGTGGGCATAGACTTTCCAACTTTTTCAGATTTTTTTCATTTTTACATATTTCATGTTTTTTAAAAAAATTGTAACATGCTTCTCAAATTTTCTTTGGTCTGATTTTTCACACTGGGCTGTTTCATGTGTCAGTTTCTGTAGGCTTTGTGCACATTTTTCACAGTTATCTGCTCTCTCTACTGCCTTTTTTATTACTATAGTTTGACCACAAGATGCAGACTGAAGATGTTTATAGTTATTTTCAACTAGCTGTAAATGTTGTGTCAGGTACTAATTTGATTTAAGAAAACAGTCTGGTATCAAACCATAGATTCTGAACTTGGTTTATTTCCTTAAAACATACTAACAAGCGAAAATTTTAAATCTTTTGTTGCAGTTGGTTTTTTTTCTCCTTTTTTTCCTTTTTGGGTGAATGGTTTCTTATTCCTTTCTTCATAGGGCAAAGAGAGAAAGTGATTGGTCAAAGTCACCCAGTTAGGACTGCAGTATGTCAGTTTCTGACCTGGTGTCTTGACCACTATAGCAATCACTAGCCATCCTTAAATCAAATAGTCCAACTGAAGTAAAAATCAAAAATCAATTTCTCCATTCCAATAGAATGGGAAAGAAAGCACAGGAGATCAAAAATTGTTTTATCTTCTCAAAAAAACTCAAGCAAAACTTTGTTACAGTCTATATCAAAATATTTGTTTATACTATCAGTAACGAAAGTTGCCCTGTTGCTTTGTATTGTCATTAATTTTGAGCAATATAAACCTGAATGTTTTCCATTCCTACAGTTTCATCATTGTGCTTATATATGGAACATATTTTGGACCACACCTGGATTTGTCAATAAGCTTTCAGTTATATTCAAGGGACCAGGATGGGCACCAGGCAAGCCAAGACTTGGCCTTATTGAGGAAATTCCCGAAGTAAGTATTAATGTTGATTAAGTCTTAAGCAATTTCTAGATACTATAGCCCTGTGTCTTTGCAAACAAACTGGGCTAACAGTCAGAAAGCCTGTGTTTGAGACCCAACTTTCTGCTATGTGATGGGCTGTACTCTCATCATTCACTCAGGCTTCTACCTGCCTAGCAGTTCAAAAGTGTGCAAATGTGAGTAAATAAATATTGTATTTTTTGGAGTATAAGATGCACCTTCCCCCCCTAAAAGAGGCTGAAAATGTCAGCCCTAACGAGGTGCTAACAAGTGAAGCGATCTTCTCAGCTTTGCCTGCTCCATCGACTCTCTGCTCTGCTTTAATGAGATGCTAGCAAGTGAAGTGATCTCCATGCTTTGCTCAGCTGTTCTTTAGAAGCTTTTTTTCAGCCCTAACTAGGCGCTAGCCAAGTGAAGCAATCTCCCCCACCCCCCGTGCTTTGCCTGATTTTCTCATTGCTGCTTCTTCTCAGCTATGCCTTAAAAGCTGTTTTTTATCCCTAAGCAGGGGATAAAAAAACCAGCAAACTAATGTGCTGAAGCTGACCAGACTAAGGACGTAAACCAAATGAATTCCTGGTAGGCAGATTTTTTTTTCCTATTTTCCTCCCCAAAAACTAAGCTGCATCTTATACTCCGGTGCGTCTTATACTCCGAAAAATACAGTACTTTGGTGGGCATATTAATGAGAACATTAAACCAAACTGGGCATCTGCTGGCAACAGTGAAATCACCATCTAATTCTTTTAACCTGGAAGCACTTTGATGCTTCTGATATAAAAAGAACAACAATAACTATTGTTAAAATAATAAATCAGTTAAAGATATTTTAGGGAAAGTTATTTTCAATAAAGATAAAGAGAAATGATCAATAAAATATATGTGACAACGCATTTTAAATGTCTGATTACTGATTTTTTAAAATAACAAATTAATCTGTTTTATTAACTATAGGTCACTGGGAAGGAGGTTCCTTTCAACCGCAAATTGCCAAGCTACATTTCTATCTATGTAATAATGCATTTTGCTTTAATGTTGGGAGTTTATGTTGACTTAACTACTTCCAAACATGTAAGTAAAATTAAATTTTACTTAGAAAGGCTACTTTTGATTTTATGAAAAAAAAATTAAATATACAAATTGTTTGCGTTGCTGATGATTGATGAATAAAACTGAAAAAAAGTTGAATGTACCAAATATACTACTGTATCTTGTGTTTGGTTTTTTTTTGTTGTTTTTTTTTTTAAATTAGATTTATATGCCGCCCTTCTCCAGAAACTCAGGGCAGCTTACAATGCGTTAAGCAATAGCCTTCATACTTTTGTATATTTTATACAAAGTCAGTTTATTGCTCCCACAAACTGGGTCCTCAATTTACCTACCTTAGAAAGGATGGAAGGCTGAGTCAATCTTGAGCCGGGGGAGATTCGAACTTGCAATAATTGCAGACAGCTGAATGTTAATAACAGGCTTTTAGTCTGTTGAGCTATCCAGGCTCCAATCATGTCTCATTGTGAGACATGATTGGCTAATTACCTTTTAATATATGTATGATTTAAATATGGTAAGAAAATGTTGATTTTTATTTGTCATTTCTACAATTTTTAATCTTATGCTTTAGTGTTATGCTTATCCCTTAACTAGTATAAGCATCTCATTTCCTATAACAAATGAACAAGTAAACATACAACCATTATTATTTAGTGGGATTTATTAAAAGAAGTAAGAGACACATTTTTTAGCACTTCTATCAACTTCATTGTGTTGGAGAACACAATCTTGGAGAAATGTTTTTAGTTGCATTAATAAAGTGAACTGATCTCAAAATTTCCCAGTCTCTCCATTAGTCTGTGGTGAGGATATAGGGCATTTTAAATGGTATAATAATCAGCTAGAAGTAACTTATTACTAGGTGACTCACCTGTGCCTGCTTATTATTCATAGCTTTTGATGGTTAAACTAATTGGTCTTTTAAAACCTGTCATTCAAGTTATTGTTCTCATAAATTCTCATAAAATCAGAATGCCAGAGGAAGTGTATTAATGATACCAGGGACGGACTAATAGAATGGAAGTGTTTAGAAAAAAGCCAGAATAAAATGCTAGGTGTTTCTTGCTTTATTACAATGTTTGATGGTCTGGAATTTAAGGCAGACCCTTAGTGATAAACTAGTTTCATTGGATTTACCATGGTCATATTGCCAAATTCTTTTATCTTACAAACATAGCTAGCTCTAATAAGGCTTCCTTTACTTCAATTAATTAGTTTTGAATAGTCTTATCTGATTCATTTATCTTTGTGTAACCAAATACTTCTATAGTGCTCCATCTTTTCATGTTCTGCTGTTAAGCAAGTTCTTAAGATATGGGTGGAGGAAACTCCTGATTCCCTCCTGTTGGGTTAAAGGCAGGGAGTCAAATATTTGGCAATTTAGTTGCTGGGATAAGATATGCCTTATCCTGATCAGTAAGAATAACTCTTTAGAGAGGACTATTTCTTTCCCCATGCTCTGGTTAAGGAGAACTTTGGGCAGACAACATCAATTTAAGAGTATTGCAGAATGTAGACCAATGATAAATACAAAGCAGGCAATAATTGTTCAAAGGGATAGTGTTACAAAATAATGGAAAAACTGCATAAGAGTCCACATTTCAGGATTCTTGGCCTAGGCTTGTAATAGAGACTCAAGCTAGACAGAAATCTATGTTGCAGGAATCCTAAAAAAAAATCTAGAGCTATTGTAGAAATAAAGCATGTATGTGAATAATATAACTTGGCATATATCTTCAATATCAATTTTCCACTACGATGAATTATGAAATGCCCGTAGACACAACTGGAGCTTTTTCCTTGGCTATGTCACAAATGTGGCAATAGTCCATATATAGAAACAACTGTTTTTCTCATTTTTAGACATATGTTCCATTCTACAAAGCACTTGAAACAGTATATAAGTTTATAATTCTCATTACTATAGTGACTTTATCTTTGCTGTTACACACCAGCACATAATGTTTTTTTCTGTCCATGAAGTTTCTCAGCATGAAATATTTTTCTTGGACAAAATAAGAAACACAGAAAAAAAATATTTGGACCAGACCCCCACACACATTTGGGTAGATGATTCTTCCACAAATAGGTTTAAATAGAAGCCCAATGGAAAAAAAACCTTCACTGATTTCTAAAAGGATATGACTCTATTTCAAATTATATTAGACGGAAATAACTTGAAACTTAATAGTTTGAGACAGCAAGAAATGCTCAGTTTAGTTTCCTTTCAGATCTGGTTCTATGTCCTTTTCTTCTCACCAGGACCTAAATGGCGATTAATTCTCACCATTTTTGGTGTTAGTAAGGAAAGGTGGATACTGACAATGAATCACTGGCCATGTAAGTGATATTGTTGAAAACAGTTTTGTTTCACTGAACATGGCTTGTGATACAAAAGTTGCAATTGATGGTATCTAGCAGAATCATCAGAATGGATTTATTTGGCAGGAAAAAAATAAATAACCTAAGTGTCAACTTCTTGATTTGGAACAATGGAAAAATAAAAGTTGTTTTATAAATACTTTATGGAATGCAAAAGTTTGGATTTTGTTTTGACATACTAAAAGGTAGGTAGGAGGTTAATGGATACAAAAGCAGTAAACACAGAAATGAGGTATTCTGATATTGTTGATGAAAGGTCTGAAATAAGCATATAATTCTCTGCTCATATCATGATTAAAAATCAAAAGTTCAGTTCAGTCATGAAGAGGTATATCAATTCCTGTTATACGCTCTCACAGAGTAGGCCTACTCATAGTACCATCATTAAAACAATGTCGTCTAGTAGTTCGAAGAGAGAGAGCCTTCTCTGTGGGGGCACCTACTCTTTGGAACAAAATCCCCCTGGAATACGAATAATCCCAGATCTTCGCACTTTCCAACATGTCCTGAAGACCTTTCTGTTTCAACAAGCAGGGCTAGCATAAACATCTAAATTCTATGCCAAGGTCTTAGCAGATACACCAAGTTGACTCAATTTATTATTTACTGTTTATAATATATATATATATTATATGTATATGAAATCTTAATCTGTTCACCGCCCTGAGTCCTTCGGGAGAAGGGCGGTATAGAAATTCAATAAATAAATAAATAAATAAATAAATAAATAAACAAATAAAATAAATAAATAAATAAAGTACATGTTTTGCTGCTGATAATAACAGCATCAGGAATATAGCAATCAAAGGGTATTGTGATTGGAAGTTCTGGTCACAAGGTCTATAAAAAAATGAAGGCAGTGGTCAGAATGTGGATCACTTGTGGATGTCAGGGTTCCAGTCAGTGCCCTAATGTAATTAAGAGTTTCAAGCCATCTGGCAATAAAAATCCAGTCTTTTATTAGGAGCACCATGTCAGTATTACCTAGATGAAGCCAACTCTGACTTCACCCCCTTCACGCCTTGCCTCTGTCCCTGTTTCCCCCTCCCCAGAGTGTGTCATCCGGTCACATTCCCCAGACAGGGTAATTTCGTGGGTTGTAGAAGTCACTTCCTCCAGGCATTCACGGAGATGGCCTTGACTTGCTCAGCCAGAATGCATCTTGTTATAACCAAGGAGTAAATTGCTTGGTGCAGTTGTGAAGCATGATTTCCCATCCCGCTGCCTATGGCAACTCGGAAGCAGGTCAAGGAAGCTTCACAATTTGATAGTGGACACCAGTATAGATAGAAAAAATGTTTTAGCACTGAGAGATTCTCTTTTATTATTTCAGCACTTGTTATTGAGCTGGTAACATTAGAGTACAATAGTTGAAGCCAGCAGATTCAGGTAAATGGTATAATCTAATTGATATCCTGGGAAATGCATGAGACCACATACTTTTCCTAGGTCAGTAAATTTATGTTGTTGTATAGGGATATTTTTCCCTTCTTGTTTTTCTCAGTAGGCAGGTAACATCCATTACATCAGTTTCATAGTTCTTGATAAAACCACAGTGGTTTGGCTAAGTAGTGAGGTATCAAAGCATATTGAACGTTTACAAATGTTCATGGTGTAGAATACCAGATTAGCTTGTACTTTGAGCAGTGATGTACATTATATTTGCCTTTCTAAATGAGAGTGTTGTATTAATTTCCAGACTGCTGATAATTCATTTCCTTCTGTAAATTTACTGAGCAGTACTAAAAACCATTCTGCTCCCTGTATTGTAAGCAGCTTCCTAATTAAAAATTCTCTTTTTCTTTAAGGTAAAATAGTTTAGTCTAAATCAGTGTATATTTAATTATATAAAATGTGCTAGTAACCATATTGTGCTGAGAATAATTGCTGCAACGAACTACCTTTTAGTGTCACTTTTATCAGAAGTATGAAAGTTCTGTGGTTAAAATGTTGGCACAAATGAGAAATTTGCATTGGCTTAAACTGATTAAGTTGTGTGCATGTTTAAAGCAATGGATCGGTTTTTGTAGTTTAATAGAAGTTAAAGCTTTAGGGATGATGGTTGCCTTTTGAATCTTCAGTGAAGCAAACCCACTCAAAAATGGCCTAGGTCAGATGGCCTAATGAGTTCTCCATACCTAGAGAAAAATAGTTTGTGCTGCTGATGAATTTGAGGCTCCTATTCAATAGCATCCTTGTTGATTGCTACTTTCTCAGCTACCATGTCTTTTCAGAAATAATTTAATAGCTTTCAAATAATCAACACTGCCTTCATGACTCTCTTCTTTCTATAAATTATCCTATCTAACCATCAAATCCATAAACCACAAAATTTTTTTTAAAGTTTAAACAAAAAGTCTTTTGTCACTAATAAATGAACAAATATTATATTTTTTCTAATCAGACAAGTTAATTTAACCATTTTAGCAAGTTCTGTTATTTTCACCAATCATTCCACCTAGTAGATATTGGCAAATCTGTCTGTCTGTACAAACAATAATCTCACTGTGGTGATCATATATAAAAAGAATGTGACATGGATTTTTTTCAGACCACTTATCCAATTGTCCCAAAGTTCAGTTGAATATTAATTTTTATAGTAATTCTTCAACTTACGAACACAATTGGGACCAAAATTCCAGCCGTAAATCGCTGTGGTCATAAGTCGAAGTAAGCATGTGACATTTTTTTTGCAGTGGTCATTAAATAAAACACTGTAGTCTTTAAGTGAATGCCTTATTATTCCAAATAAGCCTTTTTCCTCTGGAAGTTAGCAAAAAACATCACAATTCACAAACACATGACCATACAATGTTGCAACCTGTCATCAAGGAGAAAAGTTTGTGAAATGCCTGAAATATAGTCATGTGATCACATTTTCCAATGACCATTAAGCATCCATTCGAGGCCATTTTAACTCCAAATGATCGATTTAACTCATAATGACAGATAGTAAATTGAGGATTATCTGTAAAATCCTTATAATTACCGTATATATTTGAGTCCCAAATTTTCCAGCCAACAAGCATGATAAAATATCCTTCCTGTTGTTCACATTTCCAACATAGATCTGAAGCACTTTTATACATTCTAGATTATTTTTCTGATAAAATATGCCAACAGTACATCATTTTATAAAAAAAATAATGTCATATAAATTTCAAACCTTTCAACCATTTGTATATTATAACCAAGGTATCTGAATTGAACTGAATGCACTTAATGTTCCACTTGATTCAAATATTAAGAGTCCAAATTCCAAATAGTAGTATTATTTAATATATTTAATAGATACGAAGCAGAAAAATACATATAAGATTAAACTGTCTGACTTATTCTCTTTCCATACTTACACCCCTCCTTTTAACAGGATATTTTTTTTCAGTCGCTAATATTCTCCAGAGAATACAGATTGGAAAATATAAAGATCTAATGCTAGTAAGAGAAAAGCTGGAGAAAGGAGGCAGATATGTGATATGATATTTATTTAGAAAACAGGTCTACCACTTTGTTTCAGGTCATTAAAGGTTCAAATAATGTCAGGAGAATAAACCATAATAAGAGTGAAAGAATTATTTTTCAAAAGTAATATTGTGCAAAGAATTATTTGCAGGAAAATATCCAATTTTTGTAACCTTCAGCTTTGAAACCTAAAGACATGAAAGAGGAATAGAGTATCTGCAGTGGATTTGCAGTTGTAAAGTTTAAAGTATCAAACTACTCAAAAAGCAGACAGTAACAAACTCATATAATTGAGACTGAAAGTTCAGACTACCTCACTGGGAAGTTTAGAACACAATATCTCTCCAGAGACCTAACCTAAATGAGTAATTTGTCTGCTTGTTGTTTTAACAGACGTTATCACAGGTAACTCTTCTCATGAGGGTTGGCTACATTGTTCTGACATTGACCTCCATTGGTTTCCTTATGGACCAAAGGTAGGTAATCTAGCCTTTATTTCTGTATCCGTTCGTTAGATGGTAAAAGCATTTTGTCTGCCAAAATAGTTTCTTCTGGTGCTAACATCACACAGAGGACAAATGTCAAAATGATATTTTGTGATTTAAACAAGAGAAACATTTTATATACCTCTTCTGAATAATAGTGAAAGTGAAAATAATGCATCCTTACGATTCTGCTTTTTTTTTTGTATTAGTAGAAGACAGAAACAATGGAGGATTTTTTTTCATATAATAGCAAAACAAATTCTTAGTGCTAAGTGCTTTGATGCCTGTTGCCACTAGGAAATTTTCATTAAAAAGTTAAGTGCAAACTGTCTAGATTCTGGCTTGGCTGTTTTTTTGAAAAGTCTAGGACCTTGAGACAATAAGTCTAGGACTATGAGACAACGCAGTACTACAATTGACATTTTTCCTTTTTTTTTAAAATTAAATTTTATTAACATAAACAAACGTAAAACACAAATACATGTAAACACTTACACATTAACAAAGAGTCAATCGACTAACTTCTAGAAAACCTTTGCATCGGTGATTAATGTCCATTTAACCAATTTTCCTTAATCATACTATTTACAAATTTACTTGCTTATACCTTAATACATTCATTGAAGTTCAGCAGTATCTTTCTACAATCATATTAACCATTTATTTATACAATCCTACGGTTCATCTCATGTATCTATTTCTACAATTCTTGAGTTATGTTCTCCTAATGTCCTATGTTGTTGGCCCTATCCTTCTTTCTAACCATGTGTACCATTTTTGCCAAACTAAATAAAAGTCAGTGTTCTCTTTATCTTGGAGCTCTTTTGTGAGCCTATCCATCTCTGCGCATTCATTTATTTTTGTTATTATTTTTTCTTCTGTTGGTATTATCTCGGATTTCCAATTCTGAGCGTACACTATACGTGCCGCTGTCAATATGTGGATGGTAAGATATTGCCAACGTGGTATTGGAATCAGGTATCAAAAGGCAACACTATAGTAAAATCCCACGATGGTTGTCGCCTATGGAGGCGCTAATTTATCCAAACAGTATAGAAATAGGAAAGATGCGGAAATATCAAGAATTGTTGAGTAGTGAGGGAGACCTACTTACGAGACAAGAACTGGAAAGACGAGGCATTATGATTGATTGGTGGCCATACCTTCAAATTGAGTCAAAATATACAGCAGACCGGAGACATTATGATTTTCAAAGCCAACCAAGTGAACTACATAAAATTTTAAAAGGCACAGATGAGAAAATAATATCTAAAATTTATGGATATTTAATAAGGTATAAATTAGAGGAGGAAACAGTGAAAGAAAACATGGTAAGCTGGGCAAGAAATATAGGTCACAATATAGAGTTGGACAGATGGGACAAGCTAGGGGCAGAAAATTATAAGATGACACTGTCGATTCCATACAAAGAAAATTTATACAAGATATTTTATAGATGGCACCTTCCTCCGGCACGTTTGGCTAAAATGTTTCCAAACACATCACCAATGTGTTGGAAGTGCAAGACACAAATGGGGACATATTACCATCTCTGGTGGTCTTGCAGGAAGGCACAACGCTACTGGCAAAAGATTAAGAGAATAATTGAAGAAACAACGAGGCAAAGTGTAGAAATGAAACCAGAATTCTTTCTATTTGGAATGACTACACCACAGTGTACAGTTGACGTTTTTCCATTTTTATCTGGGGAACCCACAAGAATTTGAAGAGGTTCAGCAAAAAATTAAACGTAAAAACAAAGTTCACTTGACCCCAGCAAATTTTATATTACTTAAGCGTTGCCGCTTAATCACAGTTCCAGGATTTTTTAAACTTTTTTTTAACAGGTCCTCCAAGATTAATGTTTTTTTAAAAAAACAAACTTTTGATATAGACTAGGCAACAAAGTGTCCTCGAGATATTTTGGTTGATAGCTTATCTGAATGATCAGGCATGATCAATAATCAGAAACTAAGAAGATTTACACCCCTGGATTGACAGAAGGATTCAAAAGTTTCAGGATTATATTTAAAGGAGTCTGATACTTTTAAACCCATATGTACAATTTGGCTTGGTTTCAGGATCCACTAATTTTGTAGTGTATTTGCTGAAGTTCTTATTGCACGATGTGAGAGAGAGTTTTATTGTTTCAGCCAGCTTATTTATAGCAAAGCTTGATACTGATTCAGGACTGAAAGAAGTCACTTGCCCAAGGTCACCCAGGTGGCTTTCCTGACCAAGAGAGATTTGAAACCTGGCTCTCTCGTAGTCCAACACCTTAATTACTTCACCATATAGGTTTTCTATATGCACATGTTTAAGAAATAATGACATTTTCAGAAGAAAATCATATTGAAGGATAAAATTGAATATCATTACTGAATGTATTAGTCATTGGAATATGGATCAAAGCCATAGGTATAAATTCAAAAATCCACATTAAAATAAAGTTGGGAGCCTGAAAAATGATCAAAAATCATAATATAGGAGCCCAAAACCTCTGCAAAATGAAAACCAATGGAGCGCTGTCAAGAAACAAGCAAACATTAATTTCTTCTGAAATTCAATAATTCATAAAATTATTTGAAGATATACTTTGAAAGGTTGGTAGAATATCTCAAGTACAAATAACATAATTCTGTCAATTTCCAAAAATAATATTACCATACATTTTTTATTCTTAATATTTTTTATTTTATATAGTAGTGATGCATAAATTTCTTTTTGCAGTATTAAATTAATTAATTAATTAATTAATTGAGGCATTTATGAAACAGCTTATACAAGTTCTTGCACCAACAAAAATTAAAAAATTAGATCTGATTCTTTTGTTAGAATGAAAATAATGTATCTATCTGGTGTGTTAGCAAAATGATACTGCTAACTGTCCATAGTTTCTGAGAATCACAGTTGTTGATTCTGTTTTTTGTTACCTAAAGCAGTGGTCCCTAACCTTCCTGGCTCTGCGGACTGGCAATGGTGGTAGTGGGAGGTGAAAGGGATGGTTCCATGCATGCAACCTAATCTTACACATGTGCAAATGGAGCTTTGTGCACTTGCCTGCCACTTGTGTGTCGCAATTCCCAATGAACTGCAGACCGGGGGTTGGGGACCCCTGAGCTAAATGGCAGAAATGTGTAGATACTTGGCTATTGAATAATATGCTAGGAGCTTCTCTAAAATACTTAAAAAGGACCTAATTTTAGTTTAATATGATGTGATTTCTCCCTGTACAATTAAAATGTTTCCAGTTCTGGCTTTCCAACATTTAGAAAGGTTGAATAGGGCAACATATGTCTTTGTTCATCTTTGTTATTTATGTTTATAAAATAAACCATGTAACCAATTAAAGAGTCAATTAATTTTGATTATTTTAAAATTGCAATTTTAGATCTGAAGTGACTTTCATGGAATCTGCCCGTTGCTCTGTTTTTCTTGCTCTGCAGAAGCTTGGATATTTGGAAGTACATTCTGCGCTTTTATCAACTACCTATGAGGTAAGAAAAGTTGTTTTTATTATAGAATTACCCATATTGATTTTCATACAGCACATTTATTTCACAAAAGTGATAATACTCTATAATATTTTACAAGCTTAGAGAAGAATAGTTATTCTGAAACAAACATTGTAATTTAAGTAGAAAGTGCATATTATTATGTCTACCAAATTACTCTCTTTGTAGAATGATTTAAAATATCATCTATATAATTTGTTTATTCATGCTTTCAAAAATTTTAATTATGTTCACACATTTTAAATTAGCACAATTGTTGAATTAAATATTTCAGCTAAATAAAAACATAAAATTGTTGTTCATATGCAGTATCTGTAGGCACTTTACCTATTGATTACTCCCATAGCTATACTTGTTTCTGTTGCTTTTTATCTTATCCAGCCCTTTTTGTCTGCTTTCATTCCCACCAATTAGGTTAGCACTTTACTTCTCTGAATCCTCAATTTCATGCCCTTTGCTCCCTTTCCACAAGTTTTTTTTTTTTTTTTAATTTGATTTATATGCCGCCCTTCTCCGAAGACTCAGGGCGGCTTACAATGTGCTCAGCAATAGCCTTCATCCTTTTGTATATTTATACAAAGTCAGCTTATTGCCCCCACAAACTGGGTCCTCATTTCACCTACCTTAGAAAGGATGGAAGGCTGAGTCAACCTTGAGCCTTGGCGAGATTCGAACCCTGCAGTAATTGCAGGCAGCTGGTCTTAAGCAGCTTAATAACAGGGTGCCTTAAACCCTAGTACTACCAAGGCTCTTACCTACCCCTATGGATAATTCCTGGCTATTGTTCTCTTATTGCTCATAAGATTTTAAGATGGGCCAATTATTCCATCAATAATAAAAATAGTTTCATCAAGTTTTGGAGTGCAATCCTTGATGCAATGCAAAAACCCAATGTAACCTTCAAACTTGATATTTCTGAATTTAGAAGAGTTCCTTACCCATTGCTCGTACCCTTGAGATATCTGTGGAGAAATTATATCTGCTGAAGGCAATTATAGATAGATGAAGAGAGAAAGCCATAGGGGAAAAGCAAGGTTGAATGCCTGTGGAGATTCTCAATCACCCAGCTCATTATTCCAAAGGTGTTTTTCAAAAGTTCAGACCTGAAGAAGCTTCTTCGATGAACGTTTTCAAAGAGAAATAAAAACCAAGAAAATCCAGTTGCCTTTTGGTATCATATACTGATGGAAACCAAAGATGGACATCTTGCAAGCCATCTTGTACAGCTCCTTTTTATGACTTCCAGATCCCCTCCCTCAAAATACTGATTTGCACGAATTGTTTTGGGTTATTTGGAGAACTCCCCTCACCACCAGTGTTCAAAACTTTTGAAAATCTTCTCTCTGATGATTCTGTAAGTGAGCACCAGATCCCTTTCTCTCAACATAGTAAGTGCTATCCTGACCACCCCAATTGCCTACTCTTGTTTAAATAAACACAAGCCATACTGTTGATACCCACTAACAAATAAATCTGGACTCATAAGGTAGTATGATATATCTTTTCATTAAGATGTTGGCACAAGTGGTAAAGATGTCCTTTGGAAATATTGTTTTCCACCTCATTGTCACAGAGTCATTACCATTATTCTGTTTGTAGTTATGTTAGCTTTGTTACATTCTACTATGGATGATGATGTATAGTTTCAAATGCTGTGGCCAATTGACTGTAAAATTGTTCTGCAGTTCTGGTGGGGCAGCCAAGTTAGAGCTTTTAAAATATCCATGCTGAAGCTCAACACCCACTGTTTGGAAGCTGATCATTATTTTTCTCCTGTCTCCTGATTTGAACAAAAGGAAGACTTCTGGAATTAATTAGAAATGTCTACTCTTGATGAGATTTGCACGTGAGTTTGCAATTGTGAGGCTTTGATAATGTCAGCCAACAGCTGCAGCTTCAGGCGGTAAAATCAAGAGACAGATTTTCCTTGGGCTTAATTACAATCAGAAAGTATATATTTGAGGGAGACCGAAACAAGTCAGATTGGAAACTGTCAAGTATTATCATTGAAGATGAGACTTAAACATCTGTTTCTTCATAGAAAAGTAAACAAAACATTTATTGTTAGGATCCCTTGGTTGTGAGACTCTATCTAGCAGTTGTATATAACTGGAAATTATGAAATTTTCTGTAGTACTTGCTATAAAAGAAACATCTGGCACTATTTATGTCATTCGTATTTGACAACTCAAGGCAATAATTTGTGTACAATGTGGAATGCAATTTTTCCTAGATAGTGTTAACAATATGATGCTAACCCTTTTCCTTGTACAAGGATGAGCATTTAAAAGTGTTTCAGCTGTTTTATTTAAATAACTAAAACTTCATAGAAACCACTTTAATTGCCAATTGTCATCTAGTGGGTTTACATCCTATTCTTTTACAATTGTCTTGAAAAAAAATATATTTACATTTTGAATCTAAAAAGGATATTTTACCTATAAATATGATCTTAACTATGTCCTAAAACCAGGATCCACTGCTTATCAAGATATTGTCAAAAAGTTAAAAAAAAAAAATCTGCAAAGAGAATCAGACTTCACAGCCATATCCGAATAACTGATGATTTGTTTTAATAGCTTCAGAATGACATTAAACTTGCTTATGTATATATATTTATTATTTATTTGTATCCTGCCTATATAATTTTTACAAATAACTTAAGGCAACATGCCATCCTGCTCCTGTTTTCCCTACAGCAATAACAACCTTTGGAAGTTGATTTGGGCTGAGAAAGAGTCTGTGATAGCACTCACAGAGTGGAACTTGAATTCACTGTCTAGGGCTTGCTGCCCTGTTGCCTTAACTAGTAGACAAAACTGTTTCTCTCTATATTAGTATTATTATTACTATTTGTATTCAACTAATTATTTAAAAATAGTCTTTTTTTAAAAAAATATAGCAAATAATGGTAATTTAAAACTTCAAATCAAACAGCAGCATTAAAGATGCAAGTAGTATGATCTCTGAAGGATTAAAATGTGGGCTAAGTGGAATTCTGAATCACCTTACTTTTGACCTGAAAATGAGAGAGGAAAATAACTATTCCAATAATGTCATTGTGAAAGCTTTCATCCTAAGTAAGAATTTAAGAAATGTTGCAATAATTAATGAACTGCCATGACAACAGTATAATAGAAGTCTGCCCTTGGGTTGTGCAAATCATTCAACAAGAGATTGCTCCACTGGATTCACTTTTCAAATTCTCAGATATTTGTTTTGCTATCTGGAACTGGAATGTCTTCTGTGAATATAGAGGCACCAAGGAAATCTTGGACGGGCTCTGAAGCAATAGCACAAATCCTTTGAACTGCTATATCTAATTTGCAGCTTTGGGGAATAGATGCACAAGGCTAAACATTTCACTGTACGGCTTGCATAGATCTAGTAAATTTAACCCAATTCAATAGTCCAAGAAAATAAAAAATGTAGTTGGATCAATTTTAGCAGATGTATTTGAAAATTCAAGTTCTCATTGAAAACCATAAGAAATCTATTGATCATTTTTAAAGATTCAGTAGAATTGAAAATAAAATGAGACTTTATAATGGTTGCATTCTATATACCAGGGGTGTCAAACCCGCATCGTCATGTTATCGTCACGTGATGTGACGTATCATGACTTTTTCTCCCTTTGCTAAACCGGGGGTGGATGTGACCAGCATGTGATGCATCCAGCCCACGGGTCGCGAGTTTGACAACCCTGCTATATACATTAAAGATAACATGTAATTTAGTTCAGACAACACAAAACAGGTATTAAGTACTGACTATTCCATGATGCTTGTAATATATATGTCACAGTATAACCATTGTTATACTGGCATAGTTCCCAGCGACCGGTAAGATCCCACAGAGTTGGTCTCCTCTGGGTCCTGTCAGCTAAACAATGCCGGCTGGCGGGCCCGTGGGGGAGAGCCTTCTCTGTGGCTGCCCCAGCTCTCTGGAACCAGTTACCTCCTGAGGTCTGGACCATCCCCACCCTATTGGCCTTCCGAAAAGCGGTGAATATCTGGCTTTTCTGGCAGGCCTGTGGCCGTTGATCTCGCTTTGTGACCTGACGAGATCCGTCCATGAATGGTGTGAGTGGGTTTTAATGTTTTTAATTTTTAAGTGTTTTTATAGTGATTTTTTGAGTGTATTGTGAGCCGCCCTGGGTCTTCGGAGAGGGGCGGCATATAAATTGAATTAATAATAATAATAATAATAATAATAATAATAATAATAATAATTATTCTAAAGTATTACAGCAATCAATTTCTAACATTTTGTAGAAAGGTGTAATAGTTTTGTACATCATAAATAGCATTGTATAGCATAAAGCAGCTGGCTTGATTAATTGCATCAAGTCTATGTCATAAGTGTTTTAAGACTTCAATCTGCCACAAGACATTTATATTGTGACTGTTGCTTTGCAGACAAATCATTAGGCAGAATGCTGTCTCAGATAGCAGATATTAAGAGTTAGGTAAACATCACTTAAGAAAAGCGAATTCTGTGCTCTATGAGTCCTATAGTTTCTAACCTGGTCTATTGACTTCATTGTAGAATTGTGTGCAGTGGCAGTGTTAAATAAACTGCTAATCTAATCAGGTTTTGGATATGGAAATAAAGAGGAATTATCTCATTCTTTGCTGCATGCAGCAAAATATATTACATTTCTTGGATAATTCCATTATCTTCCTGATTTATATGTATTTACCATAAGTTATGTGTATCAGAGAAGTCAGGTAGAAAGTTTGCCAAATATTTCTAGAAGAGCTCGTCTCATAGCATTCCATCAGTTTGACTTACACTCATGGAAAAGATGGAATGTAGGACCATTTCCCATGTTTGCTTTTGATGTGGCAAGGCTTTAAAGAAATTATATAATCATAGTAACTATTATACTGGATTACCTAAGGGTCCATCTTTTTCCAAGAGCTCTACTCGTCCAATTCAATTTGGCAAACTGGGCATGCTGCAGATCCTGCAGGGACTAG